CCAACGGGATCCATTAAAACAGCACCTGACCACTGTCATGTGCCCCACCTCCGCCCCTCCGGCAGCCTCTCTGCTGCGTGCCCAGCCGGCCTATCTTCCCCCCTCTGCTCCCAGCACTGCCTTACTTCTGTTCCTCACTCTTCCGGGTCTCCGGCCACGCAGCTCCCTTGGCCTAGACGAGGCTGCTCCCGCTCAGCCCGGCTAACCCCTACCGGTCGGGAAAGGCCCAGGTCGGGTTGTCTCAGCACCTCTCGCCAGGCCTTGAGCACAAATCAAAGCTGTCCCTGAACAGCTGTGTGGACAGTTCATTGTGTACTGCCTCTGTCCCTCATTCGGGTGGAAGCTCCCTGAAGGCAGGGACCACGTCAATCTCTCTACCTTCAAGTCCCCAGCATCCGGCACAGTGCCTGGCCCACGGCGGAAGCTCGGTGACTAGTTGCTAACCAAACATGGCCCTTGGTGGAAAGTTTATGACAGTGGCCCCCCGATGGCTCAGTCAGAACATCTGGGGATCTCAGTTCTGCCCCTCACTGGCTGTAGGACCCTGGGCAGGTTAATCTTGCTGATTCTTAACGTCCTCATCTCTAATATAAGGATAAAAAAAATAGGATCTACACCGTAAAGTTTTTGAGAACTAAATGAAATAAAGAAATCAGAGTGTCAGTGGACTGCCAGACATACAGCAAGCTCTCAATAAATGTTGTGCCTAGTTTCCCCAGAGCACTTACTTCCCTTCTTCCAGACTCACAGGGATACATGCTATTGTCCCTGGATCCTACCTGTATCTTCATGATTCTATATAGTTATTTGATTACTTTGAATAATTACACCTATTATAATTTTTCTGCAGATAAACACGCACATTGTATATGTAGGAGTATGGACTGTTATTTACAAATAACAAAGGGGAAACAGCCTAAATATCTCACAACAATGATCTGGTTTTAAAAAGTATGATCTGTCCACACAACGACTTAAAACACTTTTCTAAATTGAAGATTTATATGCACTGACATGAAGACGTCTCTAATCTGTTGTGAAGTAGAAAAAAAACCCGATGGAGAACAATATATAATCTGCTACTATATGCTTCTGAAAAGTGTGTGCACAGGTAAATCTCACTGATGTCACACACACACACTATGTGCACAGAGGTCTCTGGAAGGACACACCAAACACTGGCCATACGACTGTCTCTGGAGAGGAGGATTCGAGAATGAGGGTCAGGAATGGGAGGGAGAATTACCTCTTACTAGGTACACAAAGATATATCATTTTTAAATTCCTAGCTCGGCTATTATAATGCAAATCAATTTTATTTTTCAAAAACATAAACAGAATTCTACTTTGACTATTTCGGCGTTCGGTCACTGGTTTCTGGTACTTAGCTCTGGGCTGGGCTCCGTGAGGGGGATACAGAGTTAGGTGACAGCCCTCGCTGTGGAGCTGGGTGGGAGACCAGTCGCCATCTGTCATAAAACGCACCTGACGGGCATCTGGAGTGGGAGCGGTGGTGGGCAGGGAGGACGTTCCTAGAAGAGGGAACAGCACAAGCAAAGGCCAAGAGGCGCACAGGAGTCACAGGGGTCACCCGGCTGGGCTGCGGGGGGGTGGGAGGCAGGGCCGGGCACTGGCCTCATGTGCCAGTTGAGACTTTGGATCTCATTCTGAAAGTGACTGGCGGTCGCTAAGGGTCACTGAGCAGAGCAGTGATGACCGGAGTCATTTAGAAGGGCTGTCCTCAGCCACAGAGGGAGCAGCCAGTGAAGCCAGGGAGGGGCCAGGGGAAAACCCACAGGAGAAGCCTGCAAGCAAACCCGGGTCCAGAAGGGAAAGGCCCAAATGGGACCTGCAGGTGTGACAACCAAGGCGTCCCTGAGAGGCCAGGGACCCCGAGAAGCACGGATGAAGGGGAAATGCGAGATGAGGTGTAGACCCATGGGACACCAGTAGCTCCCGGAATTTTGGAATTTCATAAAACCAGTGAAATTTTTCGAAGTCAAAACAAAAACTAAGAGCCAAATAAGGTTGCCGACTGTTTAATTTTGCAAAGAAGGGTAACTTGTTAAAATTACATACCATATTTTAATACCATCATTAAATTAAATTTAATTAATTTATTTATTTTTATCCTCACCCAAGGACATTTTTCTATTTTTTGTTCAGATAGAGCAGGAGGGAGAGAGAGGAAGAGAGAGAGAGAGAAAAATGTCGACGTGAAAGGAATACATTGAGTGGCTGCCACCCACACGACCCAACCAGGGCCCGGGACAAACTGCAACCAAGGTTCCCTTAGCGGGAACCGAACCCGGGTCTCTCCGGACTGCAGGTCAATGCTCTAACCACTGAGCCAAACCAGCCAGGGCAATACCATCATTTCATAAAAGAAGGGGCATTTTAACTCTCCCCTAGAGAAGGCCCCGTCTCCGACGGCACGAATAACTTGATATCACCCTTTCTACTTACATTCCATCATAGATTATAAAATCTCAGATTCGTGATGCTGGTTTACCGACTGGCTGTAAACCGCTATGTAAACTGTTTGTTTTTTTCCTAAGAAGGGAAAGAAAGAGATTAGAAAAGAATAGACTCAAGAGTTTTTGGGTTTTGCCCTGGCCAGGTAGCTCAGTCAGTTAGAGCATCGTCCTGATACATCAAGGTCGCGGGTTCCATCCCAGGTCAGGGCACATACAGAAAGCAACCAATGAATGCATAAACATGTGGAACCACAAATCAATGTTTCTCTCGCTCTCTCCCTCCCTTCCTCTCTCTCTAAAATCAATCAATCAATAAAATTTTTTTTAGAAAAGAGTTTTTGGGTTTTGAATAGTGAGTTTGATTTGAGAAACTTTACTGAGAGGAAAAGACATTGAAGGAAAGATTTAAAACTAGAAACCAAGTGGAGTGTAGTCTCCCAGATTGGAGCAAAAGGATATTAATGTAAAAGCTAATGAAAATAAAGTCTGTAGTTTAGTTGATAGTATTGTACTGACAGTAATTGCTTAGTTTTGATAGCCATCCCTGGTTACGGAGGTTAGCTCTCGGGGAAGTCGGAGGAAGGGCACATGCAAACTCTCTGTACTATTTCAGCAACACTTCTGTAAATTGTAAATTACTTATAAATAAAAAGTACAAAAAGAGTTGCCCTGGCCAGTTTGGCTCAGGGGTTAGAGTGCCAGCCTCACAGACCAGAGTCTCGGGTTCGGGTTTGATTCCCGGTCCCAGTTGGGATCATGCTGGAGGCAACCAATCAGTGTGTCTCTCTCACATCAATGTCCCCCCCCCACCTTTTGCAAGGACACTGAGGGCCGAAATCAGCAGCCTGGAAGGGCCTAGCCCTAGAACACCTGCGAGTTACGGAGGCTCTCGCGCCACACTAAAATGGCCAGACGGCGCGAGGGACAGCAACAGTGGCAGTGAGCGGAGCCTGGACCGAAGGCAGTCGCTCAGTGTGAGGAAGAGTCCGCGAGATGTGGCCATGGCAGCCGTTCGTCGGATCCTTCCATTTACTTCCAGGAACACCCCAGGCCCCGGCAGAAGCTTTTTTTTTAAAAAAATAATTTTTCTTTATTGATTTTTGAGAGAGAGGAAGGGAGAGGGAGAGATAGAAACATCCATGAGAGAGAACATCGATTGGCCGCCTCCTGCACACCCACCATTGGGGATCTGGCCCACAACCTGGGCATGTGCCCTGAACGGGAATCGAACTAACAACCTCTTGGTGCCTGGGTCAACGCTCAACCACCTGGCAGAAACTTTTAATAGACCCTGCTAGTATCCTTTATTCACTTAAAATTCTCATTTGAAATGTGAAAAATCAGCCCTGGCAGGTTTCCTCAGTGGTTAGAGCGCCACCCTGCAGACTAGAGAGTCCTGGGTTCAGTTCCCGCTAAGGGCATGTACCTCGGTTGCAGTTTGTCCCCAGCCCCGGTTGGGGTTGCGTGGGCCCGTTGGTGTGTCTCTCTCACATCGACGTTTCTCTCTCTCTCTCTCTTCCTCCCTCTCTCCCTCCCACTCTATCTGAAGATAAATGCAAACAAGTGTCCTCAGGTGAGGATAAAATGTGAAAAATCAGCTTCTCAGCCTTAAAGGATAAAATCTTAACTCTCATACATTTTTAATGGCAAATAATATGTGCAGTAATTATTCATAATACTTGTTTCTAGCCCTCCTTTTTGGGGGGTGCAGGAGGGAAGTCAGTTGAAAAGTAGCCGAAGGGGCAGGAACCAAGGCACCCTGCAGGTCGGGAGAACGAGTCTTGCTGTACCAAGGCCTTGACACTGGGTGAAATCAGTACCAGCTGTGTTTTCTGCGCTTGTTCATTCTGCTGAGGACTCCCAGGAGTGCCAGCAAGTCCATTTGGTCACTTGGGGTATGCAGGAAGACAGGACAATATGATGAAGTCCCCACAAACCACCCATTCTGGGACAGAAGTCATTTGGCCGAGGGCTCTTACTGGGAGAAATGGAAATGGATGGGCGATCGTCACGACTTGCCTCATTCCCTTGTGCTGCCGTGCTCCCGTCTGACCTGGGGCCTCGACTTGGATTGCCCCTTGATCTGGAATGCCTCTAGTCAGCCAGACCACCTGGTGAACTCCTATTTTCCCCTCAAAACCCAGATGCAGTAACCCACTTCTGTGAAGCCAGGCAGGGGAATCACTGTATACTACCTTTGTACCTTGTACACACATCTCTTGTTGAATTGATCCCAGTATATTGTAATAATTTGCACCTGTATGCATCTCTATTAAATTTTAAGTTTCTTGAGGTTAGAAATAACATCTTTTCATCTCTGCTGTCTCTGTGCTGAGGACAGTGCCTGTTATCAATTAAGTATTCAACACATGCTTGCTGAAATAAGTGCAAATAATAAATCACTGCTATATATATATATATATATATATATATATATATATATATATATTTTTTTTTTTTTTAAAAGAACTTTGAGAAAGCATAAGAAAAATTCTCTATGGAAACAAAATAGTTGACCATTACCTTTGAAAATCTGCGTGATGTTTGAGAAAGCCTGGCAACATCTTCAAGATCCAGATAAGAAATGATTTTCAGGAGCAATTTGTCTGAGAGCCGCTCAAGGAAGTCAATATTGCCTTCGCACAAATTGAAGACATAGTCTAATATTCTTGGACCAAATATTAAGGCAATTTGAACTGTAATTCAAAGAAACCAACAAACCAACATGATTATCATGCTCAGTCACATAAAAACTTGGTCATGACGAATAAGATGTAAGCTTGGGGGCACCTGCCCTCTGGGAGTGGCGTGAGCTTACGTTGAGTCATTGCTACGGTCACCAAGCTGCCTGTGGGCGCTGCGGCATGCGTGTGGGGAGACTGTGTCCAGTGGCCATGCCTGCCGAGAGCAGACCTTTTAGGGCACTGAGTGTGTAACGCAGTGATGGACTGCGCCCCTTGATCTCATCAGCACAAACTCCAGTCCAGACAACTGACTAGCCAGTCTCAGCAGCATCCCCATCCTCACAGCCTCCCCGACAAGTGCGGAAGCTGCCGTGTGGTTTGTACCGCCCTTCTCTCTCCAGGGCTCTGAAACACAGCTCTCAACGTGACTTCATTGTCATTCTCTTACTATATGTCGTTTCTCCACCACACTGTCTTCCTTCCTCTTTACCTTCTTTTGATCCCTATCTTTACACAGTAGAAAGAAAAAAAAAGAGACATTGATGAATATTTCATGAAAATTGTGTTAACTTTTGCCTAACATTTTTCATACCGTTTTTATTATCTCCAAATTAGGATACAGTTCACAAAGAATCAACCAATATAATCAGCTACTTCACCGGTTCAATATCGGGGAAAATGAGGGTGTGTTTGTTTTGTTTTTTACCCAAGTTCCCTGAACAAACAAAAAATGGCTAATAAATGGGAAAATATGTTTGGAAGAATACATAGTCAGATTTTAACAGTGGTTAAATGTAAATAGAGACTTTTATAGTTTTGTTTATCTGTATTTTCTAATCTTTCTACTGACAAGAAAACAATTCAGAGATGTCCTCAATAAAATGACAGCAGGCCCGAGGGTGGCCGGAAGAGACGAGGGAGGTCAGTCAGTTAACAACTGCAGGGCAAAACCAACACGAGACGGCCCCCCTCCTCGGTGCACGCTGGAACCCTGAACTCACTTCCAGGGGGCTCTCCAGAGCGATCCCCAGGGAGCGGTGGACCACGGCATCTTCCGCACACGTGCCTTCCCAGACGGGCGCCCAAACCAACGCAGAAGAGCCGGCACTTCGCCCTCCCAGCTCTGCCCCTCTCCCCAAACTTGTCCTGCTTCACCCGCTCCACCCCTTTATCTACAGCCAATGGACATTCTTTCAAAACAACCTCCACCTTTCTTCCCCAGACTTGAGGTAGAGAAGAGCCGCCCACTCCAGGCAGGGTCGGGCTGTCTTCCCCGCCTGGCCGAGGCTGGAGGCTGCAGCCTGGGGCCTGCTCCTTTTTCTGGCTGGCGTAAGGCTCAGTACAGCCTTTCTTTAAGAAAAGCTTTCAGCTGTGTAGGGTTTTGTTTGCCACCATAATAAACCCAAATTACCAGTGTAATTTTTTAAAATCTAGAAAGGAAGGGAGGGACAGAGGGAAGGTGGAGGGAGGGAGGGAAGAAGAAAGGAGAAAAAAATGTCAGAACGGCTTCCAAAATAGTTCCTCTGCAGTCATTTGGAGGTTGGTTCACAGCTAAACGAAACGGAAGCTGTTCAAGGTGGCCTAACAGCTAGGATGGTCCGTCCTCCGCTCACTGATCCTGAAGGCGGGCTGCAGACTGCTGTAGGAGCTCGAGTAGTTTCTGATGTCCCAGGGGCCTTTCATCTTTCTGCCTCACGTTTTAGGATGTGGCTCTCATCCTCAGGGTCACGCTAAGGTGGCTCCCGTTCCCAAGGCATCAACCAGAGTGCGGTAGGTAAGGGGCACGTGCTGAAAGCGGAGTCTGCCCCCCTGAAGGCCCCTCCGGGAGCTCCATGAAAGAACCTCAGCTCACATCTCACTGGGCAAAACTGGGTCACACAGCCACATATGCAAGGTAGGGGGGAATGTTGTCTCTGTTTTAAGGAGAAAACGATGGAATAAAGAAAACAAAAAGAAAGGAGAAAATGGGAGCCAAATCAAAGAGCAAAGAAAAAGTATAAGATAAAAGCACACAATAAGATGACAGAAATTACAGGCATAGTAGCAATCATGATCAGTGTAAATGACCTAATCAGACCAGGTAAAAGACTCTCAAGGAAATAACACATGCACGCACACACAAATATTTCTGCTTATATGCTATTTATAAGAGACATGCTAAAAAATAATGATATGGAAAAGTGAAGGTAATAGTAGAAAAAAAGCCCAATTCAATCCAAAAGAAAACATTACTAGCAGACAAGATATACTTTAAAGTAAAACTCACTATTGGTGATAAGAAAGACCATTACTTACAGATAAAAGAAATAATTCACCTAGTAGATTTAAATGTTCTAAACTAGTATACCCAACTAACCTCATTAGGGGAAGTGCTTGAATAAACTATGGTTTACAATATAATAGAATACCATGCATGGCTCAATAAATGGACCATTGAAATGAATGACTCAGATCCACATATATCAACATGGATAAATCTCAAAAACAGTGTTGACTGATAAAAAAAAGTTGAAAATGATATAGTATGATATCATTAAAATTTTAAACATAAAAATAGTATATACTATTTATACAGTTGTAACTAAAGTTGGAAATGATACCAACTTTAGAACAGTTAATAGGAGAAACAGAGGGGAAATAGATGGGTGAGGAGTAGAAATCTGACCATGTATGTAACTTTTTAATGATTTTAAAAGATATTAAGTAAATATGGTGCTTACGTCAGCAGCATGTACAATAAAACTGGGATGATAAAGAGAAGGTTAATATGGCCCTGAGAAAGGAGAACAAAATTAAAACCATTCAGAGTAGATTCTCTGATCACATGCAATTAAGCTAGACATTAAGGCTGGGTGGGCAGAATAATAAAAAAAATCCCCAACTACCTGGAAATTAAACAGAATGGTTCTAAATAATCTATGAGTCAAAAGAGAAATCAAAATGGAACTTAGAAAATATTTTCATCTCAATGAGACTTAAGATACAATTTGTCAAAATTTACCTAATAAAAATACAGAAGCCCTTAAATAAAATTTAGGAGGGAAATGGCTGAAAACAATGATTAAACTTCCATCTCAGGAAACTAGGAAGAGAACAACAAATCAGACCTAAAAAAAGTAGTAGGAAGGCAATAATAATAAAGGCAAGAACAGAAATCAATAATTAAAATGGAGAAAATCAGTAGAGCTACAAGTTAGTTCTTTAAAAAAATTAATAAGCCCTGGCTGGTCTGGCTCAGCGGTTGGAGCGTCGGCCTGCAGACCAGAGAGTTCCCGGTTTGGTTCCCACTAGGGGCACATATGAAAAAACAAACAAAAAAACAAACAAACAAATTAATAAAACAAAAAATCCCCCAACAAAATTCATAAAAAAAAAAAAGGTGAGTGGGGGGAGGGGGGAAGCACAAATTACCATGATCAAGGAATGAAAAAGAAAACATCATTATAGATACTACAGACATCAAAAGGAAAAGATATTTAAAGCAACTTCAACATAGTTGATAATTCGGATAACATGAAGTAAATGTGACGAATGTTAACATTTTTAGTTAGTGGTGTTGGGTATCTGTAATATTAGTTTCTGTTCTTTTTTTTTTTATCCTCACCCGAGGACATTTTTGCATTTATCTTCAGATAGAGTGGGAGGGAGAGGGAAGAAGAGAGGAACATCGACTTGAGAAAGATACATCGAGTGGTTGCCACCCACACAACCCCAACCGGGGGCGCAGACACACTGCAGCCGAGGTACGTGCCCTTAGCGGGAACCAAACCCGGGCCTCTCTGGTCTGTGGGCCGACGCTCTAACCCTGAGCCAAACCGGCCAGGGCTACTTTCTGTTCTTTTTTTGTATGTGTAAGATATTTCTAAAAACTGTTCACGTTCAAGGTACAGAACATAGGGTATACAACTCCTTCTGTGTTAACACATGAGCACGTGCACAGACCATTTCTGGAAGGACACCCAGGACTCCGGCTGCGGTGCTGCCTCGTGGAGCTTCTGCCCCTAACAGACTCCCATCCCACCTCCACTCCTGAGCCAACCCCAGGTCTGCAGAGTCTCGAGGCTGGAGACAGGGCGTGGCTGATTAGAGGAACAGAGTCAGGTGGTGGCCAGGCAGGAGAAAATGAAGTCCCGGTCCAGGACGGAGACATAAGCCTGAAGAAAGGGCCTAGAGAAAGTGGATTATGGATCCAAACACGGGCTGGCCCAGGCTGGGAAGAAGGTGAGGACTGCTCTTTCCCACTTTCCGATACCTGGTGAACCGATATTCCTAGGATTGAGAACTCAGGCCAATATTTCAGGATATTAGTGTTTATTAGTATTATCAGTTTTTCATTAAAGCCCTCATTTCAAACATTCAGCCCCATTCTTCCCACAATCATTTAATGTCCAATCATTTAATGTTCGAAACTTTGACATGGAAACTGTATCTCCTCCATTTCCTTGCACAAGCAATGCCAGCAATAAAAAGCCTTTGTCGTTTGGTTCAAAAGTATGGTTGTTGTCATTTGGTTTTATCCCCAGATTTTTGTGGATTGCCCTAAATACTTAACCACCATTTAGAACTCATTCGAAGATCTAAGTGAGCAACTTTAAAATGAACGTAAGTTGGAAAAAAGCTTATTTTTAAGTTGAATTCAATCTCAACCCGTGAAGCAGCACTTTCAACCGAGTTTATATTGGCTCATTTTTACCTTAAACTAAAATTTTAAACAAGTTTTCAATAGCTAATTTCCTGATTGTTCCTATTTATTTAACTGGGGGGAGGGGAATCTATAGATGTTTCTTCAGATTGTTAAAGGTCTGAGGGAAAAAAACCTCAAAATTCACAGATGAATGGACAAAGAACACAAACAGGCAAACTACAGAAAGAATATAAATGGCAATTAAACACGGCAGGAGGCTCCGCTTACTCGTTATCAGGATAATGTTAATTAGACAAGATATTAATTTCACCGTTTGGCTGGAAAAGACGAAAAAAGACAGCAGTATCTATTTAGTATTGGCAAAGGTGTAAGAAAACTCCAGCATCCTGGTGGATAGAGTATAATTAATACAGCAGCTTTCAGAGGGGGGCAATTTGTGAGTATAGTGAAGTGACTGGCATTTTATGTTAGTTTTTAGATGATTAGTAGACATTTGGTCCTGTCCAAAATGTACTCGGAGACATTTGGTCCACAGTTAATATAAATCCCATTCTCCTGAAAGATTCAAAACCCCAACACACCTGCCTAACCCCTTGGGCCATTCCCAGCCAGGCTACCCAAGCAAGAAGGATTATTACTGGCAAGACAGCCACAGCTCAATTATTGGGCCAATGAAATATGATAGCATTTTTGGGGTATTAATTCTGCAAAACAAAAGTAGAAATAAACGTATGGGCTATGTGAACCCAGGGGCATTTGCTAAGTGCAGATGTTTTGGACAGGACCAAATGTCCTGCAAGGGTTTTAATCATTCAATATTGAAATATTGTGGCATCAATATGCTAACGAAGTCTCGTCTGATGAACGAACATTGGAGTAATGGCTGCTGTGCTGAGAATAAACTATTTTGGGCCAGGGTGGAAGGAGAGAGACCAGATGGGAGACTAGGTCAGGGATCTGGGAGAGAGACTGCCCTTGGTTGGACCAGAGTGGAGATGGTGAGAAGCATTCGTATATTAGTTATCTATTGTTGCTTAACAAATGACCCCGAAGTTGATTAGCTTAGCACAACAGACACTTATTATCTCATGGTTTCTGAGGTACAGGAATCTAGAAGTGGTTTAACTGGGTGGTTCTGGCTCAGGGTCGGCCTCTCATGAGGGTACAGACAAGACGCCATGGGTCTGCGTCACCTGAGGCCTGGACTAAGGCTGGACGGTCCTCCTCCAGGAAAGCTCATGTGCATGGGTGTTGGATGGAGGCCTTGGTCTTCACCACATGGGCCTCTCCACACGCCTGCCTCAGACACGGTAGCTGGCTTCCCCCAGAGCAAGTGATGAAAGGGAGAGAGAAAGGGGGGAAAGAGAAAAGAGTGACATTGCAGTGTCATTTATAACTTAATCTCAAAAGTGACATCCATCACTTCTGCCTAGTTCTGTTGGCCGCACAGCTGACCCAGATGCAGGGGGGCGATTAGGGATCACACAGAGGTGTGCCATTGGTTGGTGGGCCTCTTGGGGAGTCATCTTGGAGGCTGCCTCCCACAGTTTGGATTCTAGTTATGTCAATGGGTTGAATCTAGCATGTAAGACAAAAAATGGGGCCAGGGATAAATACAGAATCTTTGGCTGATATTTTGGGGAGGTAGAGAGATTTAGGGGACCATCAGGGGCTATTTTTGGACATGTTCCATTTGAGAGCCTATTAGATATTCATTCAAGTGGAGATATTAAGGGGGCAGCTACATAAATATCCGAATGTGGAGTTTCAGGGAGAGGTACCACCTGGAGGTAAGGGGCTTGTCTGTTTATGGGTGGCAGTTAGAGCCAGAGCCTCCATCCCATCCCCCAGGGAGTGCAAACAGACAAGGAAAGAGACATAAGAGCTGAACCCTGGGCTCCAGCATTTAGATTTGGAGAGACCAGCAGGGAGACTGAGAAGGGGCCAGTAAGGCAGGAGGAGAACAAGAGCGAGATGCCCTGGAAGTCAGGGAAGAAAATGTCCCCTGGAGCTAAGTGCTGCTGAGAGGTCGAGGAAGCAAGAGTAACACGATTCAGGTCCTTTGCCAGGGGTGCCACCAAGGCTGACCCAGATTTCTAAAGACGCGTCACCAATGTGTAGGATTTAAGCAGAATGACTTTGGATAAGAAAAACTTTGGTGGGGGGAAGATCTTGAGACTATGACAAAGGGGATGGAAACCAGTCAAACATCATTTTCTTAACAACAGTAAACAATGATTAAGGGCTGATAATGGACCATGCTGCCTGGAGGCAGTAGAGATTCAACCTGGCTGCTGACCCCTGAGCCCCTCTGTGCCCCAGAGTCCCCCTCCTTCTGTGCAGTGAGGCCTTTCTGGGGGATTCCCTAAGAACCAAGGGGAGGAGGGGGATGAACAGCAGTGTGGTTTGGAGTTTTCTCCTCTGCTGGGATGCTGTAGGAGGTCTAAAAAGTGAGACAGCAGCTCTGGAACTTGCCAGGCCAATTAAATCTGGTATCTCAGTGCTGCTCCTGGAGAAAGGCCACTAGGCAGTCTTGAGATGAGTCGCTCTCCAAACTGCAATTTTAAAAGCCCGTTTGGGGGGAACTTGACTGAATCCCTCCACTTCCCTCCCGCCAGGAAGGAGGTTCAGCAGGAGCCAGGCTTCAGTCCGACCCTTCAATTCCCACTTCATTACCTATTCTCCCAGGATCAGGAAGCCCACAGTGGTGGTCCTGAAGCTGATGTCACCCCACTCCCACCCGGCATCTTATCTAGGGCCAGTGGGGTTGGAGGTGCCTGGGGCTAGCAAGAGGCAGGTGAGATTTGGCCCTTACACCTCTACTGAGAAGACAGTCCCTCCAGTCTAAACCCCCATCCCCAGGGATCTGTGGAAGTCAACCAGAAAATCACACGGTCTCTCGATGAACATTCAGCATGCACTAAACATCTCAATCCACTGAGCCTCACTGGCTGGGCTGGACTGAATTATATTCAATGAAACTTGGATAGTCTTTTCCCAACATGGTTCTTTTTAAGCCAATAATGAATTTTATAAATACTTGCTATAAAAGAGTTAACGAATTTTAGGAATTGAAAGCCATCCATCCAGAGGTTTAACTATTTCAGGAAACAAAACAAAATCCAAACTACTCTCTCTAAAAAAAAACAAAACTATTTTTCCTTCACAATGTAAAATTTTAACATGCTATCATGTTAAATAATAGACTGTTTTTAAGAATGTCGATTATCTAAGATTCTCCCAGAGTGGGCCCTTTGAAAATAAGATGAATAGCCCGTCCGGTGTGGCTCAGTTGATTGAGCTTCGTCCCGTGGACTGAGAGGTCCTGGTTTGAGTCCCAGTCAGGGCACATGCCTGGGTTGTGGGTTCGATCCCAGTAGAGGGTGGGCAGGAGGCAGTCAATCAATGTTTCTCTCTCACATTGATGTTTCTATCTTTTGCTCCCTTCCTCTCTCTCTAAAAATCAATAAAAACATATTATTTTTTTTTAAAAAAGGAAATAAGATGAACATACTCAACTTTTCCACTCTCAGTGCTGAGTTCAGGCAGTGTCAGTAACCTGTGGGGCCCCAGGAGGTGGCATCCATTCTGAATCTCACTTGTGAAATGAAGACACTGCTATTTATTTCACAGGGATACTGTAACAATGAGAACATGTATATGAAAGTGCTTGATATTAATATTAATAACATTGTTAACTACTAGTAAAATAAGAATCTCCAAAGTGCCTTCTAGCCTTAAACTTCTATTGTTAAGGAATAATTATTAAAGAGTGTAGTTAAAGGGAGTTCTTTTAGAGATGCATGCTGAGGCAGTTTAGGATGAAATGATGTAACAACTGAGATTTGCTTCAAAACAATCCAGTGGGAATAGTGGGTTTATGTCTGTTTTGAGTATTGTGGAAGCTGGGTTAAGGGTATGTGAGAGTTTTTTTAAAAACCATTTTTGTACTTTTTATGTCTGAAATTTTCACATTGTGAAGGAAAAAAGGAAACTGGAGAGCAATCTCTATTATTAAGTCCAAGTATTTAATTAAGACAACTTCTCTAGCAAACCTTAATAGTAGAAGATGTGATGATGATTTTAAATGAATGCCAACATATATGAGTTAAAGGATTTGATAATTTGGTTGTTTTTTAGTAAACTTTAACTTACTTTTAACAAGAAAAAACCCATTTTAATTAAATATTATAGCAAAAAATATATATATATTTGCATGATTTAAGATTATTAATGGAATCTACATGTTAACCTGGAATCCTAAATGTGTTAAGCTTTTTTTCAAAACAAATTTAAGAATATGTTAATAGTTGTCTATTTTTTTAAGAACCCAATCTTCTACTCTATCTACTGTATGAAATTAAGTATGTAATGGCATATCAATATTTCAAATGATGAGACCTTTGATACTTCTCTGAAAAAATCTATCTCTAATTAAAGGGAACTTAACAGTAGTAAGTACATACCATGCTCCCTTCCTTACCTTGAAGATGTGAATTCTCTAGAAAGTCTTCATGAGATTCTTTGGTTTCTCCAGGTTTTGCTGACCGATACTCACTCCTCAGAGAAATCTTCCACCATCTAAAAATGACCTGTGATTGAATAGAAGGTAATCTGAATGGAAACGGATTTAAATACCAACAGCTATGGTCAGGTGACAATCACTGTGGTAGGCACATAGGCCGTGTCTGACATCGGCTGTGACTGCAGTCTAACATCACGTCAGATTACAAGTGAGGTCTGCGCATCAGTGAACGTTTTCCTTAGTGATCAGGGTCACAAAATCAAAATGCTGGAAGGAATCTTAAAAATCTATCAAGTCAATTGATGTTAAAATCACCCAGAGCCAAAGGAAGATTTTGAAGCTCTCTGAGAACATAGATTCTCTAACCTGGGGAGCCAATCCAAAGTCATTGCTCCGCTCTCCGCCTCCCTTCCCGTCCACGGGACAGACAAGATGACAGCTACATGGTCAGGGCCAGGGCAAGCACCACTATGCAAGAAGTGTTACTTCACTGGACACTTCTCGTTAACGGATCTGCTGATGGACCATTTGACTTCTACAAGCATTTTGGTTTAGCTGAAGTGAACTTCATTTCCATGGTTAGGGAATGCACTGAAATTCTGTGCTCATTTCATGGCAGTGTCAACTACCAGGCCTAATGAGAAACCCCTTGAAACTCTTGCAGCTCATCTCACGTTTTCCAACCTGTAATGGAACTGGGTAGTTAATTGAGATGACAAACCTCCCGCCACCTTGAGCACCAAACCAAACAGTTTTTGCACCAGGGCTGGGCTACCAGGGCAGGTGATTCAGGAGACAGTCAGTGCAGAGAAGCTACGGGGCTCCCCAGTTCCGGGGTCTTCCCTCACTAGTATAGCCAGGTAAGGTAGAATAATGTTCAGGGAAAATTATTAAGCAAGTGAAAAACTTGCTGTGGGGCCTCTCCCCCATCCCCACCCAGCCAGCATTCCCAGGGGTCCTCCCAGGTCCTGGGCGCACCTCTTGGGCCACCATCCTGGTCTCTACCGCTTTCCTACCACTGTCTCCCCGGCTCTGAAGTACCCAACCTCTCCCTTTCTCCCCACTCCTTTCCCCTTGCCTGCGGGCCCAGGCTCCCAGCTCTCCGCTCCTTCCGGGGCTGCCTCCCTCTGCCCTATTGTCCCAGGCCCTTTCCACTGCCTCCTCCCAGCCCCCCCCTCCCTGAGGTCTGAGAGATAACTGAACCCTGGGGAGGGTGGAGACCTTTCACACCACCTCTTCCCTAGTACCCTGCCTGACAGCAAGTTGGTCCTCAATAAATACTTGTTGAATGACTGAAAGGGTAATTTTCATTTAGATTTTGTTCTAATCACTAAAGTAGATGAGAAAAAAATACATGTGGAAGTTATGAAACTCCATAATTTCACAAAATTGTGGTGGCTGATTCTTTTCAGAAAAGCCCTTCACCTGTCACTTTTTATTTTCCTGACCAGGAATCTCACCAAAATTGTCCTCTGAAACATCGTTCTGTCCCATCTCACAAAGGCGGGGTGTATCAGTTGCTGCCATGATAAAATACCACCAACTGGGGGCTTAAACAACAGAAACATATGTCCTCACAGTTCTAGAGGTCAGAAGTCTGACATCCAGGTGGCGGCAGGTTTGGTGTCCTCTCCTGCGGCCTCTCTCCTTGGCTTGCAGACGGCCACCCTCGCACTGTGTCCTCCCTCGGCCTTTCCTCTGTGCACGAGCATCCCAGGTGTCTCTTCCTCTTCTGATGAGGACGCCAGTCACACTGGATTAGGGCTCCACCTTTATGATTTCACTGAACCTTCATTGCCTATTCAAAGGCCCTATCCCCAAATATAGTTGCACTGGGGTTTTGGGCTTCAACCTATAAATTTGGGGGAGGACACAGTTCAGTTCATCTCAGAGGGGTACCAAGTATTACAATAGAAAGAACGTAAATTTTGGAGTGAAAAAATCCTAGCCAATTTATTTACTCTCTCTGCACTTCCATTTCCTTTGTATTCCCTTTCTATTAAATATCATTAAGATGAATATTAAATATCATAAATAACATCTTTTCTATTGAGTGACACTGCCAGGCAACCAGAATCTAATGCTATGTAATCTACAACTTTAAGCCATGTAATCTACAACTTTTAGAACTAATTGGGAAGTCAAATAATTTAGCCCTTCTGCAACGCACACAGAGGAGCATGAAGTTTCAGAGGTTGAGTTAGAAATGGTAGGTGTCCTTCCCCACCACCTTACTACCAGGTGTTATATTACAATAAAAGCAAGTTTCAGGTTGAAATCTGCCACAGGAAAGACTTTTATTGCCAGGCAGACAGGACTACAGTCCAAAACATGTTTCTGGAAGCTTAGTGGAGTACCCCCTGGCTGTCTTTGGCACTCCATGGGCACCTTGCCAGGAAAGTGGACCTGTAGTATAATCAGCTACCTTTCCAGGCAGATCAAGCAACTAAATCCTTGAAGTGGAGGATTTGGGAACAAATGGAGTTTTAGGCAGGGTGCTACTCCAGAAACATAGTTGCCAAACTTACTTATGTTGCTAAAAAAAAAAAAAAATGCACTCTCTGAGAGACTTTTAACTCTTGTCAGCTTCTACCTTGCACATCATTCATTTCATCAGTGAAAAATGATTTCTGACATTCCTTATACCAATGAATTAACCCTCTGGTACTGACTTAGAAGGCAGCATTTGAAATGCTTGTGGGAACGGCCTCTGGAGGGAGGCGCCCAGGGCACAGAATCAAGCTGACTTGCCCACACAGATAAGCATCCTGCTGGCTCCTCTGAGGAACTTAGGGTAAATTAGGGAGAAGACAGCACTAGCCTGAGGAAACCTAACTGGCTGCAACCAGAATCCAAGCCTCCTCACTCCTGACTCACAAACACAGTCTGTTGGAAGCTCTTTGTATACGACCTAACACAACTCTACGGAGCAGTACACAGAAACCTCGTATTCAGAAGCACAACTGAGCCTTGTCAAGACTTGATCACGTTCCACATACTGTACTTACTAAGCCAGAAAAATGTACGAGGCGGGTGTTTTCTACCACTTATTGTTTCAGATTGGTAAAGAGTTTTTTTTTTTTAAGTGCCAAAACTCAGTACTGACGAGGAGAAGGAAAACGGGAGGCCTTAATCATCACTGAGAAGAAGGTGAATTAGTTTGGCAAGTCAAAAATGCTAAGGTCATCCGTGCCCTTTGACCCAGACATTCTACTTGCAAGACTTTATCCTAAGGAATTTATCAGAGATATGTACAGCATTTTTTTAATGTAAGGATGTTTGTCATAGGTTAATTATGATAATGAAAAATCAGAACCAAACTAAGGGCCCAATAGTTGGAACTAGTTCTTAACTAGTTGGGACTAGTTAATAGCACATTTAGATGCTGGAATACTCTGCACCCAACAAAATAATTTGTATAAGAATAATAACACAGAGTAACATTAATAATCATTTGTTTAAAAACTCAAAAGTGCCCTGGCCGTTTTGGCTCAGCGGTTAGAGCGTTGGCCTGCGGTCCAGAGAGACCTGGGTTCGGTTCCCGCTAAGGGCACGTACCTCGGTTGCAGTTTGTCCCCGGCCCTGGTTGGTCATACGGGTGGCGGCCACTCAATGTGTCCCTTTCATGTCGATGTTTCTCTCCCTCTCTCTCCCTCACACTCTATCTGAACAAAAAATGGAAAAATGTCCTCGAGTGAGGATTAAAAAAAAACAAACTCAAAAGTATACACACCACTAATCCAAAGATAGGAAGGGAAACATCTGCATATGCAGGGAAGGCGTCTGTGTGGCCGGCAATTCTACTGTCCCACAGGATATGCAGCTGGAAGGAAGTTCAGCTCAGTTACACCCCCCAAATATCTGTGAAATGAGTGCTTATTTTAATTCATACATACATACAAAGTTGTTACATATTTACCGTTATTCTGAAAACCTCCAAGTCCATAAACACCATTTTCTTTTCTTTTTTTTAATTTATTTTTTTATCCTCACCCGAGGACATTTTTCCATTTTTTTTGTTCAGATAGAGCGGGAGGGAGAGATAGAGAGAGAGAAACATCGATGTGAAAGGGACACATCAAGTGGCTGCCACCCGTACGACCAACCAGGGCCGGGGACAAACTGCAACCGAGGTACATGCCCTTGGCGGGAACCGAACCTGGGTCTCTCAGGACCGCAGGCCGACGCTCCAACTGCTGAGCCAAACCGGCCAGGGCCATAAACACCATTTTCAATACCTTGTTCTGATGAACTGTGAATGTTTGTTAATGAACACGCCTGGAGCTTCCCGTGGTTTTTATAAGACTGTTTAGAGTTGGCTGGAACTTGGGCTGCACTGTGCTCTCCCCAGGTTTCATGACTCTCCCAACCACCTGTGAGCAATGCGTCACTGTCTTTCTACGGATGAAGAACCCCCATGGATGGGCTAGATCACTGGCACCAGCCCTTGTCATCCAGGCAGCATCTGACTTTGTAAGTCAAGTTCTGTGTCATTGCCTCATTGGCCCTCCAGGAAGGGGGACAGTCAGCCTTATTGTAGGACGCACACCATTATGTGGTATCTTGACAGAAATCATGTGATCAGTGGTAGAATTCTTTAAACATTTTATTTATAGTTAGCATATTTTAGATGTCTTATATATTTCCTGTAAATCTTTTTAATAAACTTGAAAATTGAGCATGCTTGTAAAAGAGAGGTCTAAGATTTAGGATGAACCCCTCAGCATATCTCCTGCACAAATTATTAGAACAAGATTACAAGGCATTTGTTGTTAACCCAGTAAAGGATCCTAGAGGTCAGCCCTTTTCCCCACTAGGACAGCAGTGACTCACTAGGCAGCCCTCAAGGGGGCACCAGGAAACAGCAGGCCCAACTGGCCATCTCAGCATCTGAGTATATTTGGACAATGGCACACCCCCACCCCCGGTCTGAGACTGTGATCTTCCCTCCACTATCCCCAGACGGAAAATCCTGCTACTAGCACAGAAAGCAGAGACTCTGGTGTTAGACAGGTCTGGTTTAAACCCTGGTCTCTGTCATTCACCTCCAGCAAATTTCTTAATCTC